AAAAATCTGGCCAACAACAGACCAACCATCACTAGGAAATATTTCTTCCATCCATTTATTAAAAACAGACGATTAATGGGAAGAAAAAGTACCTTCAGAGTATACAGTCTTAAAACAAACAGAATCGGTCCCAATCCATGGCTTAAATTTTTGAGACAAAGATGTCTAGTGAAGGTCACACAGATAAACAGACGATTAATGGGAAGAAAAAGTACCTTCAGAGTATACAGTCTTAAAACAAACAAAATCGGTCCCAATCCATGGCTTAAATTTTTGAGACAAAGATGTCTAGTGAAGGTCACACAGATTTAACACATTCACTTTAACCAGGTGAAACCTCTGAGCAGAAAATACTAGGGCTTTTCTCCAAAAGGAGGTGTCTGATTTTATGGAGATGTTGGAAGGTACATGACAGATCTGAATATGCATATGAGAATAATGGGAGAGGAGTGAATATTAAACCTTATCTATAGAGTTTACATGGGAAAAAATGTTAGATAAATATACGCTAGGGCTTTTCTCCAAAAGGAGGTGTCTGATTTTATGGAGATGTTGGAAGGTACATGACAGATCTGAATATGCACATGAGAATAATGGGAAAGGAGTGAATATTAAACCTTATCTATAGAGTTTACATGGGAAAAAATGTTAGATAAATATACATGCCTCTTTAAGAAATAGTCCTTTGGCCCACAGGAAAATACTGTTTGAAAATGGAAAATTATTACTAAGAAGTTTTCTATGATTTATTTCAGTCTTGCTCTTATATTCCCACTTTCCCCATATCTAAAATTCTGAATATGTGAATCTGGATTGGGTCTATAGCTTTAAGATGTCAGTTTGAAGGGTTCAGTTGGCTGGTTGATACTAAGATGGATCTCTGAATCTTTAGGATGCTAAAAGTTCATCTAGTTCCAGCCACTAAAATTGGCAATTGCACGTTGTCAGGTTGAGCACTTCCTGAAGTAAGCCACTCAAGGAAACAGTCTGATCACATTTGATGTCTGAATGAGGTTAAAAATGTGTGTGTAAGCCTATAATACAGCAAACCGTGCTGCTACCTGCCCCCCTAGCCTCTGAATAAAAGATAGACCACTCATTTGGGAACGAGAGGAAATGAAATTAGGTAGACTTTTAAACCGTAACCAGGAAAGAACCTTGGGTGTAGTTAATGGCACATGTAGCTTGCTAGGAACAAATATATACAAAATCTGTTTTTGAGGGAATTATATTACCCAAAACATACCAGAAGTTTGACTCCTACATGAGTCTTGAAATAATCTTTTTCAGGAAGTGGGCTGCAAAAGTTGCTTGGCTTTAAGGAAAGAAAATTCCTCTACATTTGCTTTTTTTTGGTGGATGGACAGCCAGTACAGGGATCTTCCCAGAGGATGGGGTCAAGAACCACAGAAATAAAAAAAAAAAAAATAGAACTCTTCTCCATCAGTGAAATTAAGGCTTCATCAAGGAATCCACCTGCTAGGCCATCAGTTTGCCTAGTCTCAAAATCACTTGTTACATTTGGAGAAAACTTTGCACTATTCTGTTGCTGTTGGAGCAAGTCAATAGGCATACACAATACAGTGCATAGTTGAGAAGCCATTGTACTAGGCTGAATAAAGACTCCTAAAGGTATCAGATTCTAATTCCTGGAATCCATAAAGGTTGCCTTATTTGGAGATAGGGTCTTTGCATATATGATGAAGTTAAGGACCTCTACATGAGGATATTATCCTGGATTAGGATTGGGCCCTAAATGCCATCAAATGTATCCTTGTAAGAAGGAGGTGTGGAGAGATTTTATACACCAGAGGAGGAGGCAATGTGAAGATGGGGACAGAGATTAGAGTCCCCATCAGGTATGGCCACAAGCCAAGGAATGTCAGGCAGCCACCAAAAATTGGAAGAGGCAAGGAACAGATTTTCCTCCCAAGAGAGCATGGCCTTGCTGATCTCTTGATTTTAACCCAGTGAAACCAGTTTCAAACTTCTGGGACTAGAACTGTAAGAGAATAAATTTTTGTTGATTTAAGCCACCAAGTTTGTGGTAATTTGTTAGAGCAGTCACAGAAAACTGATACACTGCTACATTAAAAAGACATAATATCATATCTACTATTACAAGGGCTGTAATCCAGCAGATCTTGTGATTCCATGGCTTGTTTACAAGTTGGGAAATTTGTGTCCTGATAACTATATGTGAAATCAAAACAAAGAAAACATTTTGAGTAAGATTCAAAAATGAGTTTTGTTTTCTATTTTGTGGCAAATCTTGAAGTTACAATGGTGACAAAGGGCAGAAAAATACCTCTGTAGTCACCTTCACTAAATAGGTACCCTTTATCATTAAAAACTGGACATATCTTTACCTTTGTTTCTAATTCTAAAGCAATGTATTTTGATTATGGAGCATAAAATTAAAAAAAGTGGAAAATCAACATTTCTCCCAACTCACCAGAGTTAACAAGGTTTTTCCTTTGCATTTAAAGATACCTTAATATAGATATATATTGTACAAAATGAAAGTATAGACTCTAACTCTTTGGCAACATGCTTTTCCTCATAAGACTATATAATAAATAACTGTCCATAGCAGCATACATAGCTCTCCCTTCTTCTTAATGGCTCTATATCATTCCTTTATATAGATATAGTATAATTTACTTAAACAAGTACCCACTGATGAATGCTTCAGTGGTTTACTATACTTTTTGTGCAAAAAGTAATAATTTTTCTTTTTATCCAGATTGAATGATCTCTGTTTTGTCAAACTCAAAAGTTAAAGAACATGAAACTGAAAGAGTTTAAAGAATACTTAATTATTTTGCAGAATCATTGAACATTAGAAGTTAGTTTTAAAATAAAGTGCTCATATTAATTGCATTTCAATTATTTAAAAGTTCTGATTAATAACCATAGTAATGGTTAATTTTTTAGACATCTGACTACCCAGTGGTGCTCTCTTTAGAAAATCACTGCTCCCCTTCCCAACAAGAAGTGATGGCAGATAATTTGCAGACTACTTTTGGAGATTCCCTGCTTTCTGATATACTTGATGATTTTCCAGACAAACTACCTTCACCAGAGGTAACATATAGTCTGAGAAGCTCAAGTTAAGAATAAAAATCCAAAACATGTCACTGTAATATTGGCCCATGAAACCGGGTTAGAGACCAAAGAAAATGCTTGGTTTTAATTGTTTATAGAGGTGTACCTTTGCAATGTGCCTAAGAAATGCTCCCATGAGCATTTAGGTTGAACATATTTTGATAAAGAGAATATAGAGAGATATATGCAAAACTCATTTTTTAACTGTGTGTCATGGGTTCACAATTTCAAGGCAATTAATACTAGGCCAAAATATTAGGAATTTGATATGCTTTTATAGGCAAAAGGCAAGAGGCAAAAAGTCTAGGCCAAAAATAGAGCCCGCACCCAATATCTCAGAAGCTGAGTGGCAAGTTCCCCTTTATAAAACCTGCTCTTTTCAATTTTCCTGTCTTCTGGACCCCTTTCCACCTTAACTAGAGCATCCTCAAGTATTTGTTTTGAAAAAGCACCCCTACCTCTACCATCAGGATTTCACTTCCCTTCCCTGCTGTCTCTCTATTTTATTATTTCCTTTCACATCCAGCTTTTCATTTTCTCATCTCCTTGCAATGTCTACAGTCTGGCTTCCTCTTCCACGTGCTCCATAGTAAGTTTCTCATCGTGATCATAGAAGACTTTCTTACTGATCAATTCTAATGGACCCATTTCAGTCTTCATCTAATTTGTTCCCTCGGCAATATTCAACACTGGGGACCCCTCCTTTCTTTCCTTGACACTTCCTTCTGTAATCACACTTTTTTAGGCTTTCTATTTTTTTGTTGTTTTAAAAGAAATTTTTGTCTTTATTTTATTATTTTATTTTAATTTATTTTATTTATTGAATCAAAATTGATTACACATATTTTTGGGGTTCAACATTGAGATATGTTGATCAAATCAATATTACTAGGATATATATTGTTATGAATCTTAACAATTATTCTTTATGCCCCTTGTCCAATCTCTCCCAATCCCCCAGCCTCTCCTCCTCCCCCCTCTAATTGCCCTAGGTTTCTTCTCTCCTTCTGAAAGAATAATGGTTACTCTGTTAATTTGCTGTCTAGATGATCTGTTCAATGCTGAGAGGTGTGATCAGGTCCCTCAATACTATCATAGAGCAGATGCTTCTTCTGTCACTCTGGAATGGGCTTTGTGGAGAGAGACATCCTCTTCTTTTCTTCATCTCTGCTGGTGACTCTCCTTGTGCTAATGCACTCCAGTGGCTGGCAGACTATCTGCATGGTTGTTGTGGCATCTAGCCACTTTTGTGGCAGCCATGGTTATTGTGGTGGCTGTGGTGGGCCACCCACATGGAGGTGATGTTTTTGGCATGCTCCTTGGCACTGGCAGTGTGCCTGGTTGTGGGGGGCCTGGTCCCCTTCTCCATGCCTCTGGTCCCTGGGTGGGCCCTGAGGCACTCGTGCGGTGTACCTGGCTGTGGGAGGGGGTCCAGTCCCCTTCTGCATGCTTTGGGTCCCCAGGAGGGCCCTGAGGTGCTGGCACAGTGTGCCTGGATGTGGGAGTGGGGCCCAAGCCCTGTCTCCAAACCACCGGTTCTGAGGCAGGCCCCAAGGCACTGGTGGTGTGCCTGGGCTGGAACTAATTTTTTGTCCTTTGCTTA